ATGCCTGGTGTATAACTTACATCTCCAACATCGGTCTTACAGGACGATATTATTTAATTATTGCCTTCAAATCTGAAAAAAAAATCACCGCAAAAATTTACGGAAGCGGGACGATGCGTTTGTTTGGAGTCGCGCCATAATTCTATTTTCAGAAACACCCAGTCCTTCAACAAAAATCACGCGCTCCAAGGCAATATCGGTTTTTATCGGTGGACACGTGATGCATTCCTGGCCAATTAGTTGTCGGGAATAATATGAAAAAATAATAAACATATATATCACGTAATGCCTGGTGTAAAACTTATATCTGCAAAATGAGTTCAATGTACGACGGGTATACTTATTTTATATGATACTCCATCAACGTTTTTTGGAAGTAAAACTGTAATAGATATTATTTTTGGAGATAATGTTTATTACATATTGCTGCGATTCTACAAACGGTTCTCCTAAAACCCCTACGAAACTCTTTACATGTTTTTTTTATTTTTATTTTTTATACAGGATGCAAAATGTGACGTTTGTAAAGCTATCATTGAGATAATTGACAGATATTTGGATGCTAACCAGACAAGGGACGCCATCAACATTACAGTTTATGGACTGTGTGCTGATCTGCCAGGGGAGTTTCAAGTTATAGTAAGTTCTTATACAATGTCGACCAGCACTAAATATAAAGTGTATATATGGACTATGTACTGATCTGCCAGGAGCGTTCCAAGATATATTAAGTTCTTTTATCAAGTCAAAAACCAACTTACACACGATGTGTAATTTATTTGAGATGAAACAGAGTTTGATTGGTTTATCGAAATAATTTTCGACGGCATAAGCACGATGACCCCGACTGACCCTGATATGGCATGCAATTGATTATTACTGATGTCACGAATATGGCAATTTGTATTATATAACGATAACATGAACTGTTCTGTAACTTTTCTCGATTGGGAAAACATGGCCGATGATTCATCTGTAACCTGTGAAATAGATAATACTCCGTAGAATCGTATGTAAATGAGATATTCCACAGTGAAGATGTTGGTGTTTACTTACAGTGTAATGATGCTGCCCCACAAGTGGTGGTAGCAGTGGAGTCGGGACTGGACCCCACCACTGCATGCACTTTTGTCAAACTCTGCTCTGGAGGAGGTAAATATGATTTCTATTAAACTGAGGAATAATCATCTCGGATCGTGGACATTAAATATTAAGCTACAAATATAATCACTTTTACAGGTATACATAAAGTATAAACAACCAATAGATGTGCGTAGGTAATTGTTGCCTTCTGTTGACAGGCAGCTTTGAACTTTTGGGTGAAGAAATCGAAGACAGAGTCAAAGACGTTGAAGAGGATCTAGAAGTTGGGGTAAGATTGTCAATCATTAACCAGCAATGTTTTTTTTTTTTTAAATATTGACTTTTACTATTGATTTTTTTTTATTTTGTTAAAAATAAATGTAATGGTGGTAAGCATACTGATACAATTTCACTGGAAATAAAGCTAAGGTGTTAACAAGGATTCGTCTCCGGTACCTAAGATAAAGGATTATATAATTTCAGGATACTAAATGTGAACTGTGTAAGCTGGTGATCAATCTGATGGACCAGTACATCGGCCGTAATACGTCCGAAGAGGAAATCAACGGCACTGTCTACAAACTGTGCGACATGCTTCCAGGGGATATTAAATCCACAGTGAGATTACACACTAAAATATCTATCCACAGTGTCCCTTATACACTTTTAACCAGATTTTATTTTAAAAACTTTCTTTAGATTTCTTGACAAATTTCAAGGAACCCATTAATCAGCCAATAGCAAAAATACCGATTTAACTATATTTTATGTAGCAGACAGGGTTAGTCAATGGTAACCAAATAGCCCAGATGGTGCTTCTAGAGTTAGAGGCTAAGAGTTTAGAAAGCCTTTTTGGCCTTTTGTATTGTCCCCGCTAGAAAATATCATAAGAAATCTACTTTAAACTTCTTACTTTTAAATATTTAAAAACCAAAATTGTTTTCACAATTCAAGTTATAAAACAAAATAATTCAAACGAACTTTTTTTTTTCAATTCCTTGTTGACTTATCCCCGAAAAATCGGGGTTTTGTTGTGTTTGTTGAAGCTTAATTTTCTGAACAACAAGCCTTTTAAACGAAATACAAGATGTTTAATTTCAGTGTACATGTTGATTTCTGTGTACGTGTCTGATTTCCGTGTACATAATGATTTCTGCGTACGTGTTTGATTTCCGTGTACATGTTGATTTCTGTTTACGTGTTTGATTTCCGTGTACATGCTGATTTCTGTTTACGTGCTTGATTTCCGTGTACATGCTGATTTCCGTGTACATGTTGATTTCTGTGTATATGTTTGATTTCCGTGTACATGTTGATTTCGGTGTACGTGTTTGATTTCCGTGTACATGCTGATTTCTGTTTACGTGTTTGATTTCCGTGCACATGTTGATTTCTGAGTACGTGTCTGATTTCCGTGTACATAATGATTTCTGCGTACGTGTTTGATTTCCGTGTAAATGTTGATTTCTGTTTACGTGCTTGATTTCCGTGTACATGCTGATTTCCGTGTACATGTTGATTTCTGTGTACGTGTTTGATTTCCGTGTACGTGTCTGATTTCCGTGTACATGTTAATTTCTGTGTGCGTGTCTGATTTCTGTGTACGTGTCTGATTTCCATGTACATAATGATTTCTGCGTACGTGTTTGATTTCCGTGTACATGTTGATTTCTGTGTATATGCTTGATTTCCGTGTACATGTTGATTTCTGTGTATATGCTTGATTTCCGTGTACATGTTGATTTCGGTGTACGTGTTTGATTTCAGTGTACATGTTGATTTCTGTGTACATGTTTGATTTCCGTGTAGATGTTAATTTCTGTTTACCTGTCTGATTTCCGTGTACATGTTGATTTTGGTGTACGTGTTTGATTTCAGTGTACATGTTGATTTCGGTGTACGTGTTTGATTTCCGTGTGCATGTTGATTTCTGTTTACCTGTCTGATTTCCGTGTACATGTTGATTTCGGTGTACGTGTTTGATTTCCGTGTGGATGTTGATTTCTGTTTACGTGTCTGATTTCCGTGTACATATTGATTTCTGTGTACATGTTTAATTACCCTGTACATGTTGATTTCTGTGTACGTGTTTGATTTCCGTGTACATATTGATTTCTGTTTACGTGTTTGATTTCCGTGTACATGTTGATTTCTGTTTACGTGTCTGATTTCCTTGTACATATTGATTTCTGTGTACATGTTTAATTACCGTGTACATGTTGATTTCTGTGTACGTGTTTTATTTTCCATGTACATGTTGATTTCTCTGCATGTATTTGAGTCCCGTGTACATGCCTGATTTTCGTTTGTATGTTGATTTTCCATGTGCAAATGAAATCCTGTGTAAATGTTGATTTCCGTGTACATATTTTTAACAATGGAACCCGAACAGGAGAATAAGAACTGCCTCATCTGATATAGTCATGACCGTATTTTACATTAATTGTTTTGAAAAAATACGACAATATAGAATTTGACATGATTGAATGAACATATGTTAACCTTATTAGGTTTCATGAAAATAAAGACTGTGTATTTTACTTGGCAGTGTGATATGTTGGTACCTGAACTTGTGAAGGCTATAGACAGCGGATTCGAACCAGTCAGAGCATGTAGTGCCGTCAATCTCTGTGTTAATGGTAAGGACTCATGTTCTAATGGTAAGGACTAATGTTAAGTTAATGGTAAGGACTAATGTTAATGGTAAGGACTTATGTGCTAATGGTGCTAACGATAAGGACTAATGTGCTAATGGTAAGGACTTATTTGATAATTGTAATGACTAATGTGCTAATGGTTAGAACTAATGTGCTAGTGGTAAGGACTAATGTGATAATGGTATGGACTAGTGTGCTAATTGTTAGGACTAATGTGCTAATTGTTAGGACTAATGTGCTAATTATTAGGACTAATGTGCTAATTGAAAGGACTAGTGTGCTTATGGTAAGGACTAGTGTGCTTATGGTAAGGACTAATGTGCTAATGGTAAGGACTAATTTGATAATGGTAAGGACTAATGTTCTAATGGTAAGGACTAATGTGCTAATGGTAAGGACTAATGTTCTAATGGTAAAGACACATTTGATCATGGTAAGGACTAAAGCGCTAATGGTAAGGACTAATGTGCTAATGGTAAGGGCATATGTGCTAATGGTAAGGACTTATGTGCTAATGGTAAGGACTAATTTGATAATGGTAAGGACTAATACGCTAATGGTAAGGACTAATGTGCTAATGGTAAGGACTAATGCGCTTATGGTAAGGACTAATGTGCTAATGGTAAGGACTAATGTGCTTGTGGTAAGGACTTATGTGCTAATGGTAAGGACTTATGTGCTAATGGTAAGGACTATTGTGCTAACGCTAAGGACTTATGTGCTGATGGTAAGGACATATGTGCTAATAGTAAGGACTAATGTGCTAATGGTAAGAACTAATGTTATCATGGTAAGGACTAATGTGCTAATGGTAAGAACTAATGTTCTCATGGTAAGGACTTATGTGCTAATGGTAAGGACTAATGTGCTAATGGTAAGGACTAATGCGCTAATGGTAAGGACTAATGTGCTAATGGTAAGGACCAATGTGCTTATGGTAAGGACTGATATCCTAATGGTAAGGACATATGTGCTAATGGTAAGGACTAATGTGCTGATGATAAGAACTAATGTTCTAATGGTAAGGACATATGTGCTAATGGTAAGGACTTATGTGAACATGGTAAGGACTAATATTCTAATGGTAAGGACATATGTGCTAATGGTAAAGACTAATGTGCTGATGGTAAGGACATATGTGCTAATGGTAAGGACTAATGTGCTGATGGTAAGGACTTATGTGCTAATGGTAAGGACATATGTGCTCATGGTAAGGACTAATAATGGTAACAAAGTTTTGTTGTTTTTAACGATTTCTGAAAACCATGTTTCAAACCTGCCTCTTTTACTTCACTGCTGTGCATTGAGCTATACTTCCTTAACATTTTCCTAGGAACCATAGCCGAAATGTATGAGGAGGAAGAGGAGGAACCTTTACCACAACAGAGGCCAGCACTGGAAGGATTTGAAGGAATCAGAGCAGAGATAGAAAAAACCATCATGAAGGATGTCGAGGGTTTCGGGGTAAACATCTTTAATTCAGTTAGTATTATTCAACAGTACAGGTCTGTTTCATGATGGTCATTGAGAAATAAAGATACAGCAACTCGCTCTGGATAATAACGTATAACACAGTTCAGTTTCTGATTATTACTCAAATTTAAAAGAAAGATTATGAGCAGCTCCCTCATTTGTGCACATGCGGGTTTATGCTTATTTAAGGTTCAACTCTAAGATGGTTACTTTTTGTCTGTTGTCTGTGAAGCATTATACATTGTAATTTGTAATGACTATTCAGAACAGTTAACACAGATCATTGCATAAACAGCACTTTAAGATCATATTACAGTTATATAGAAACAGCTTATATGAAGTCCGAAAAGCTGTTTTAAAACAAACGGCAATGCCATGTTGTACAGAAGACCATGTAATTGTTTACCATTGAACATGTTCTTTTGGAAATAAGCCTTGCTGTGGATGTATTGACTTATGGATTGTAGAAATCTGAACAAGGTAGCATGTCTAGTGCTTACTACAGTGCACCTTTCTTGTTTAGGATGACTCGTGCGATCTCTGTGAGTATGTTATCAACCTCTTTGACAAGTACATTGAAAAGAACTCATCTCAAGTTGCACTCAATAACACGGTATACGAGCTTTGTGGCTTCCTACCTGGGGATATCAAGGCCATGGTAAGTACCAATGTCAAAGCCATGTGAATTAAAAATGTTTAGGTCACAGTATGTCAAGCCCACAGTTGGTCTAAGACCACGGTGTATACTAATGACAAGGTCACAATAAAAATTGTAATGAAACTGACTAAATATTAAGGTGACTGTAAATACCAATACTAATGTCGAGGTCGCTAACAATTCATTCCAAGGCCACAGTAATAACTATGGTTACACGTATTGTAAAGTACTTACTTATGTTGAGGTTACATAAGTCGCTGAGATCAAGGTAGTTATAAGTACTTACTTATGTTGAGGTTACATAAGTCGCTGATATCAAGGTAGTTATAAGTACTTACAACTGGGTCACTGAAACAGTATGTGTACCTCTGTCAACGTTAGTATAAGCATGGCTATGAAGGAGTCAGTAACAAACATTTGAAGGTAAATAACATCTTAGTAAACTCCAGTACTACCGGGTTGGGAGTGGGATGATAATGTGAATTACACAGTAAGTAATAAAGTCGCCAGAACCGGTCAAAGTCTCTGTGGATAACAATTAATGCTATAATATAATACAACAAAGTGTACTCAATCCAATACTACGTGTTTGTTTATCTGACAGTGTAACACGATGGCGTCCCAGCTGGTCAAGGCTTTGGACAGCGGATTTGACCCTCTCAGAGCATGCCAAGCGGTCAAGCTCTGTACTAATGGTAAGAACACCTCATCTGTTAACGTTTGCTACAATCTGCATACATGGTAGGAACACTCGATTTTTTAATTCTAACTTCAAACTTCTAGATTTTTTTGTATTCATTCTATGATTAAGGTCCGAAAATAACCTGAGCTTTCACATAATTTATAATTCATTTAGCATTTTATAATTATATAAAAATCTTTTTATTAACATTATTGAAAGTGAATAAAAAGTGACCTTCAGAGGATTAAATGTAATTCGAATGATGAAGTGGATTGAATAAAATAAAAATAAAAATAAAAGACAACGTTATTAAGTTACTAACAACACAAATGGGCTAGAATATATTAAAATATATTTGTATTTAAAGGTACAAGTGAAATCATTTTGGAACCTGGATTGGCCGAGGTAGAGCCAATTATTGAGCCCAAAAGTCAAGAAGCGGTTGAGCCAAGAGAAGAGGAGATGGAGCCAAGAGGTGAGGAGATGGAGCCAAGAGGTGAGCAGGTTGAGCCAAGAGACGAGGAGGTGGAGCCAAGAGGTGAGGAGGTGGAGCCAAGAGGTGAGCAGGTAGAACCTAGAGGTGAAGAGGAGGAACCCAGAGCTGAGGAGGAGGAGGAGGAGCCCAGTGGTGAAGAGGAGGAGCCTAGAGATAAGGAGGTAGAGCCTCGTGGTGAGGAGGTGGAGGAACCCAGAGTTGAAGAGGAGGAACCAGAGGTCGAACAGGTCGAAGTTGAGGTACTTCCTGAGGAGGAACACACCATTGAGTTGCAAGAACCGGAGGAAGATATAGTAAACACACACGTAGACTATAACGCTTATTTTATTGTTGAGGAAATGGAACCAGAAGAAAAAAATGTGGGGGTACGTAATTTATTTTTTAATTGTTGTTTCACTTGCTGTGAGAATCATTCGTCCATGCAGTTGTCTATAATTGGCATGCTATATATATACGCCAATGTTAAAGGTGCAACCCCCTGTTTGAGTGTGACCAAGGATAACGGTTGGTGCACATGTTACGAGTAAGGTTTAGGGAATAGGGTTTGTTTTAATGGAAGGACTGTTCAAAATCTATTCATATTCTTCATTAGTTAAAGCATTGTTATGTAGTGTATATGTCGCGGCCCACTTTAACCAACTACTAAAGATACATGTAGGTAGCAATGTTCACAGTTCAATCACTCAACACTTATCGCTATTTCATCTCATTTTTCTAATGAAATCAATTAAATACGCTGGCACACTAGAGTCTTATCAGAGCTTTATTCAGATTAAAAGCTATGGTTGTCAAACAGGTGACATTCACCAGCTTGTTATAGAATCAGCTGAAGAGATGTAACAGGATTACATATAACTTACGTGTAAGTTTACTGTTTGTTAATATAAGAGTCAGTTTGATAATTGTGCAGTCGAAATTTGGATATTTTGTTGCAGGCTGATGCTCGTTGTGAACTGTGTGAACTTATGATTGGTATGCTGGACCGCTACATACAGGGGAACGCAACCAAGCAGGAGATCAATGAAACAGTATACTCTCTCTGTACAGTACTTCCTTCACAACTAAAGAAGGAAGTGAGTTGTCATTTACTTCTTGTGGTCTTTCGCCGTATACAGAAGGAACCATCGAGTATACTATACATAACACGTGGTCTGTCCTAATACAATGGTGTCCTGATATATAAAGTATGCGGTGTACCAAGATATAAAATCAGTTGTAAGATAGTATATAAAACAAGAAGGTTCTGTATTTTTTCCTCATTTTGTTGTCATTTAGAATAAAAGGAAATAATTGCTACACATAACTCCCCATTTTGTTCTCCCAATTAGTACTGTAAGAACAGTACTGTAAGAATTGAAATGACGTTGTTTAAGATATCATTACCACGGTAATTTTGGTTTGAAAAAATACATTTCGTATTTCTGTATGTTGATATTTCTTTTTAGTGTCTAGTCATTGCACCCAAAGTTGTGAACACAATAAAAGAAGGTTTGAATCCAGAAACAACATGCATAATGGCAAACTTCTGTGTGAATGGTAAGTTACCGACGACAAGTATACAAACCAACGTCTGTGTAAATGATAAGGCTATACTGTTAAACGGAACTGCTTTCACCATGTTTTATATGATCACAGGGAATTCATCATAGGGTAGAAACATTTTAAAGTCTGTCAGATACCGGGATCACGTGAAATATCATTGGTCTAATTAAAAACGGGATGACACATTTAGAAATACGTATTCTACAGTGGAGAAAAAAAGAAAGTAAGTGCATGGGTGGGTGGTGGAGAGTCTGACGCCACAATATGCTATATTTACAACAGGTACAGGCATCATCATTGTGTGTGGACATTTTAGTTACTCCTTGACAATATCGAACACACAGTCACATATCTTATACCGGCATTTATTGTAAATAAGCTCATATTTCATTTAGAAAAACTATCTGTTAAGAAGGTATATCTTATAATTTATCTATGTGATAAATATAGATATGTATATCATTGTTTAAACTAACATACATGAGAAAAATCAATGATGCCTCTACTTTATCTAGGTACTGAGCTCGAGTTCCCACTTCAAGTACCTGGTCTTACGTGTGAAGCCTGTCACAGCCTTGTTGAACTGACCAACCCTGAAACATATGATGTGGAGGTAGGTTTCCACCTGTAACTGTCCTGATGATAATTAGTACTGTCATAAACCTATTTATGAGAGACAAAGACAACTTCAGTAAAGTTTGTTTCTAAAATACCCCCTTTTTGAGATGCCTCTCGTCTTTTTAGACCATTTAATCAAAGTCTGTCTAGAGAGCCCCCTTGTGATGGTTCACTAGAGAAATGAATACTAGTACAGTAAAACCTATCTAGAGAGACCCCTCTCGTGATGGTCCCCTTTTAAAATGACTATAGAAAAACCTGTCTATAGACACCCCGGAATGATTCACCTCTTTTGGAATGATGATATTAAAACCTTTCTAGAAAAACCCCTTTGTGACAGTCCAGCTCTTTTGAGATTGTTGCAATAAAACTTGTCTAGACAGACCTCCCGTTCCTCGCTTGTGATTGGCAAAGTGAAACTCTTCCATCACATCTAACAAACTTCCTGTTGTGTTTGTGTACAGGCCGCTGACAAAATTTGTGGTGCATCATGTCCTCGCAGACATCGACGATCAGCGTCAGACACACCGCTCCTTTCCCTGATACAGGAGGCGTCCGTAGTCAGACAGGAGGTAAGTGATCAGGGTTTGGGATAAACACCTGTTAACCAGTATTATCTGATCGTCAGTGAGGAGGTAAGTGATCTGATAGTTAGGATATCTACCTGTTAACCAGTATTACCTGATCGCCAGTGAGGAGGGAAGTGATCTGATAGTTAGGAGATAAACACCTGTTAACCAGTATTATCTTATCGTCAGTGAGGAGGTAAGTGATATGTTAGTTTGGAAATAAACACCTGATGATAGTGTCATTGCACATTACTCGAACATAGTCAGTAGTAAACAAACGTGTGGAATTAACCTGTCACTATTCAAGCAGAGGTAGAAAAGATCTTACATTAACAAGCTCAAGCCTGTTGGAAAAAAGTGAAAACTTCTTTTTTCCTTGCTGCTGTTGTGCTATTATATATATGTAGCCAAGATAATCTGTTCTATTTTTGCAGGTGTTACGCGGAGATCCTGCATGGAACTGTGATGTTTGTGAATTTGTGGTTAAGGCAGTCAATGTCATGTTGACAGACAATAAGACCATGGACGAGGTCGTAGGTCACCTGATGAAACTCTGCAGCTACTTTCCCGCTCCCTACGTTCATAAGGTGATTATTTATATCAAATTACAAATGTAATATTCTTTTTATCAATCAGTGGTTCATACCAACATATCTTTCTCAAACGGTGACATACATCAAAACATCTTTATTATATATATACATCATAATATGTATTTAGTCGTTGGGTGTACCGTAATTTTCGTTCAGTTGCTCTTTGGCAAAAAATAAGTTTATTCATATTTAGTGGTTGGGTGAACATAAATGTTTTCATTTATTAGAAGGATGTACATATATATATGTGGTGGCAGTCTATATATCAATATGTTTATTTAGTGGTTTTCTGTATATAAATATGTGTATCTAGTGGCAGTCTGTATACTATTATGTTTATTTAGTGGTTTTCTGTATATAAACATGTTTATCTGGTTGTTTTCTGTATACTACTATGTGTATCTAGTGGCAGTCTGTATATAAATATGTGTATCTAGTGGCAGTCTGTATATAAATATGTGTATCTAGTGGCAGTCTGTATACTAATATGTTTGTTTAGTGGTTTTCTGTATATAAATATGTTTATCTGGTGGTTTTCTGTATACTAATATGTTTATTTAGTGGCAGTCTGTATATCAATATGTGTATCTAGTGGCAGTCTGTATACTAATATGTTTGTTTAGTGGTTTTTCTGTATATAAATATGTGTATCTAGTGGCAGTCTGTTTACTTATATGTTTATTTAGTGGTTTTCTGTATATAAATATGTTTATCTGGTGGTTTTCTGTATACTTATATGTTTATTTAGTGGTTAGGTAATAGTACATACATATATAAGTATATTTAGTGCCTTGGAGTACATTAATATGTATATCAAGTGATAAAGATAACATACACTTGCTTATTGAATGGTTGACTACACTTAAAATATGTTTATTTAGCTACTGAGATGTGAACATAGCACCCTTTATAATTTGTAAAATAACTCTAAAGCGCTTTACATCATATTGATAATAGTATTAGTTATAATTGTGAAACCAAAATGGCTTTTAGTGTGAGGACTCAGTATTAGATGTCGTGGGCGAGTTTGACAAGGGCCTTGATGTTATGGAATTCTGTAACAGTGAAAATGGAAACATGTGTGGTCAAGGTAAGTAGTATCACCTTACTGGTTACAGTATCTCACCTGGCTGTAGTATAGTAAATATCTCATCTGGCTGTAGTACAGTAGATATCTCACCTGGTTGTAGTACAGTAAATATTTTTTACCTGGCTGTAGTATAGTAAATATTTCACCTGACTGTAGTACAGTAAATATTTCACCTGGCTGTAGTATAGTAAATATCTCACCTGGCTGTAGTACAGTTAATATCACCAGGCTGTTGTACAGAAAATATCTCACCAGGCTGTAGTGTATTAAATATCTCACCAGGCTGTAGTACAGTAAATATCTCACCAGGCTGTAGTACAGTAAATATCTCACCTGGCTGTAGTACAGTAAATATCTCACCTGGCTGTAGTATAGTAAATATCTCACCTGGCTGTAGTAAAGTAAATATTTCACCACGCTATAGTACAGTAAATATCTCACCAGACTGTAGTACAGTAAATATCTCACCAGACTGTAGTATAGAATATATTTCACCAGGCTGTAGTACAGTAAATATCTCACCTGGCTGTAGTACAGTAAATATTTCACCTGGCTGTAGTGCAGTAAATATCTCACCTGCCTGTAGTACAGTAAATATTTCACCTGGCTGTAGTATAGTAAATATCTCACCTGGCTGTAGTACAGTTAATATCACCAGACTGTAGTACATTAAATATCTCACCAGGCCGTAGTACAGTAAATATCTCTCCAGGCTGTAGTACAGTAAATATCTCTCCAGGTTGTAGTACAGTAAATATCTTTCCAGGCTGTAGTACAGTAAATATTTCACCAGGCTGTAGTACAGTAAATATTTCACCAGACCGTAGTACAGTAAATATCTCACCAGACTGTAGTATAGTTAATATCTCACTTGGATTTAATACAGTAAATATCTCATCAGGCTGTAGTACATAGTAGATCTGATAAGTGTTAGAGGGGAGGGTTAGAGTACTTGTTCCTGTGATTGTTCCGTCATTTAAATATTTATTTGTGAAACAATCGGAATACGTTTTTTTGTGCCAAAATACATATTGTTGTTTGGAGACATGTTTGTCTCCCTTCACGCATAAATATATATCTTGCTAGATAATTGTCTCATAGAAATAATTATATCGTAAAATAAAGAAATTACAAAATACATGTGTCGTTTAAATAAATATCTCTTATTCTCTGATTGACAGTAATGAGGATGTCCGTTTTGAACGTTGTTTGTTGTAGGTTCCCAGGACGTGGAGCTGTTGTTTGACACGCTAGGAAAGCCCGAGGATTGGGAGTGTAATATCTGTAAGAACACACTGTCCACCATGAACTCTTTATTAGACCAAGACTATGTGAGTACTGCTTTCTCAAAATGATAAAATGATTCTATATCTACCGGGAATTTCACGAACTACAATATGATGATTCAACATTACCTTGCTATCTATTTTTAGTTTTGACTGTAATGCTTTAGTTTCTTCATGAAATGATTCCTTTTATTTACAGGAGCACATCAAGATGTACATGGGCAGTGTTTGTGAAAGGCTATCTGCTCCACACAACAAGCAGGTAATTAAAGGCGTTATTTTCACCCTAATTATGTGCATCAGCAGCGTTTTGCTATGAGTCCTTTGTTATGAGCGACTGTCTACTCTGTACAAACAACTCAGTCCTTTGTTATGAGCGACTGTCTGCTCTATACAACCAACTCGGTCCTTTGTTATGAGCGACTGTCTGCTCTATACAACCAGCTCAGTCCTTTGTTATGAGCGACTGTCTACTCGCTACAACCAACTCAGTCCTTTGTTATGAGCGACTGTCTACTCTATACAACCAACTCAGTCCTTTGTTATGAGCGACTGTCTGCTCTATACAACCAGCTCAGTCCTTTGTTATGAGCGACTGTCTACTCTATACAACCAACTCAGTCCTTTGTTATGAGCGACTG